CTTCCCCACCAGAGAGGTGACATTCCATGTCCCTATTGCCAGTCTTGGCAGCCGGGGGTCAGTCCGCCAGGGCCTCCGCTCCTGGTCGCCACCCGGCACACAATGCACCTGACCCCTATGACGCCTCCTGTGGGTGGTGGGCCTATATATACTCAAGACATATTACAACAAATCAATTTCTCTACTAACACTCTAAAATCAGCTTTATTAAATTATAGGGATTCTCCCCCTTCTTCTCCTGGTCTCTTCCTGTGACCTCAGATTAACCAGGAAGCTATAAATGCAGGAAGTAAAACAATATTTCCTCCTTTTGTTCCTAGAACACAGGTAGGTAAGGTGAGTTCAAACAAAACCAATTAACAGTTAACATGTATTTATTTTAACTTAACAAACTTGTAGGAATTGATTTAAACCAAGATGTTATGTTACATAATCTGTAAAAAAGCAAAACATAAACAAACCTGGGATAGTAGATGTTTGCCTATTGCAGACTGCATATGAAATATGGTTAAATCAAAACAAGAATGTTAACTAAGAATATGGACAAGTGGTGTTCTCACCCACTTTGTCACAATGTTCTCAAGTTTCTAGTCATGAAGAAGAATGTTACATCTTATCTGTCACGAGTAAGCAAAATGAACTCACTGCTTGATTAGTCCAACAGCATGGTTTTTCTTCATTACCTAAAAAGGAGATCCCAGTTTTTGATGGTGATCTACTTCAGTACCTGTCATGGTCTGGGTGTGTGTGTGTGCCAGTGTTTTTCCACAGAGCCGGCAGTTCCACTCTGGGAGGAGCCACAGTGTCCCTGCTCATTACTCTCACCTGTGGGTAATAAAGCTGTCGAATTATAAGGCCAGCGCTCTCAACTTCTCTTCGCCAGATTCGCAGCTAACCACAGTTAATGCAGGCCACTGTTGTGTTTTGTAAACGTCATAGTAAATTACCTTGACCTTGTACCTGCGTGCCTCAACATCAGGAGTTTCGGATTTCTTACCACTCATCCGGATCACTCTCCCCTCCACGCTGCTGATCCACCTGCGACAAGGAAGCAGTTTACAGGAACTTTCAGAGCCAATATCTGCCAGCATTCTTCTGGGACCATACCTGAACGTGGTTACTCTTGTTGTTTCAGTGACTCTGACCCTTCCCCAGGACCCTGCCATCCAGTCTGACTCTCCCTTTGGCCCCAAAATCGCAGAACTGCAGTTTCCTTAATTGAAATCTCACTTATTGTTTGCTTAGCTCAGATTGCATAAGTGCTCCATAGTTTTGGCTTTGTTCATGACACAAGTTTAAACTCGCTGCTTAGTTCAGTTGAATAGCCTTGTTGCATTCACTTGTTTTCTAAATAAACTTTGTCACTTAAACGTTCCCTGTGCTCCGTCTGCATCCTGCATTGGACTCCTTTTCTCTCGAGTCGGCTACGACTGTGACACTGCCAGACTTTTATTAAATGATTTGAAGACAACATTGAAAGCAGAAATAAAAACCCTAGAGGTTGTCTTTATTATTTGGAACAATACAAAAAAGGACAACCAAGAGAACCTGTGAGAAGTTGCCTACACATGACTTCAGAAGCAGGATTCAGAAAGACAAAGTCCTTGTTATGGTAGCATTTTGGCAACATCATTGGCTGGAAACAGTTCAAAGTGGCAAAGAAAAGTTTTATATTTATATTTTTAATCTCAAGAAGCAACAGTGAAATCACACAGGAGAAAGATCTGTATGTAAAACATGGGGAGAGTATTAGTTTCCTAGCAGCTGTGCTGGCGTGTCACAAGTGTTATGCATTGTGATGGTTCATTGAAAGAGCACCAGTGTGACGGTACCATAGACTTCAACCAAACTAAGGCACACAATGTGAAAGGCGATAAAGACATGACTCAATATCTTTGTAATCACTGCTGTCAGCTGAGCTTTGTTTGATGGTGGTTCAGGTAAACAGCAGAAGAAGAGGAGAAAAGAGAGTCCTCGTTCTACCACAGAGCAAAAAAGAAGAGGAAGATAATGACGAGGTGATGATGAGGTTTCTCTCTGTGCTCGTAGTTTCCTCTTCAGACTGCACTCAGCTGAAATCTTCTGTTTCCTGTGCACTCTTAAAGTACTGGTTTTCTCCTCAGGGGTTTTAAGGTAATAAGTCACCTGCTGTCACGCTCTCATGGATTGGTTAATGTTAGCAGTAACTTTGTGTTTTCATGCTCTCATGTCTGAACCCGTCATGTGCAGGTGATCTACACCGTGCTGAGACACAACAGGACTCGTGTGCAGTGGTAGATCCTCTTGCAGCACACCATCCACCAGGACAATGTGGCCAAGAAGGAGAACAGCTCCACCAATTCGTTCACAGCTTCTCGTTGTCAGAGCCAGCCGGCTGGCTCAGCAGATACATCTACATCCCGACTGTAGGTGGGTGTAATCAGATTCCTGCTGTGATCACCTGCACAGGTGTCCTGCTACAGTTTTCCTTTGGGTGCTAGTGGCAGTGACATCGAAGAGTAAACACTGCCCTGTGTGTGTGTGTGAGAATAAAACCTTCTCACAACGTCCATGCGATCTGGGATCAGTGACCGCCCCTCATGACATGTAGCTTGAACACTTAGTAAAACTGATTCTATGCCACTGTATGCTGGGTACAGTGTATGGGGTAAACATACTTCCTATTAAACGGTGTGCACGCAAGAAGACTTCTGGGTCGAGTCCCAGACTGTGGGCCATCACCCTCAGCAACCGAAGACTCAGCTCTTTGCAGCGCAGAAAAAAGGATGTCTGGAACTCCTGAAAACTTTTCAAACTGCCTGAACACATCAGAGTCTGTCTAATGATAATACTGATATTGATATCTTAAAGTACCCATAGTATGCTCATTGACCTACTTATAGCTTCAGTGGTATAATAGGATAGGTTTATGCTTTAATGTTCAATACATCAAAATTTTGGTATCCTGTTATCCTGGACTTTACTGAACCAGCTTGTGTTGTTTTGTTATAATGTGTATTTAATGTAGAGAATGAGTCTGTAACCTTGCTGGTACTATTAAAAGTACATAGCAGCTGAAAACGGATTCCAATTCCGATGGCTTGTTTGTATTACTCTCAATGGGGTGTGTTTGTGTCACTATTTTAATGTTTGTTTTGCTGTCAAATAACAAAAAATGAAATATGTAAAAAGAACAAGTTTATCTGGAATTTTGTGATATTAAGATGCAGGACATGTCAGTGACATGATGTGGATTTTGGCTTTTAACTTCAAAATCCAAGAAACAAGAAGAAACAAGGACACTCCACCCATGTTTCAGCACCTTGTACGACCACCTGTGGTAGCAATATTTAAAATACTGCCTTCTGTGTCACTCTTTCAGATTGTGTTATTGTTCACACTCTTCATTATAATGTTGCTCCAGTTCATCGAGGTGTGTAGTTGTTTTGCTTATGCACAGTTCTGTTAATGTCCCACCACATAATTTCAGACAGGTTGAAGTCTGTACTTTGACCGTGCCGTTGCAACACTCTCATTCTCTTCTTTTTCATTCATTCAGTTGTAGATTACCTGGGATCTTTGTCCTTTTGCATGACCCTATTCTGGTCAACCTAGAGCTGTTGGACAGATGGCCTCACATTTGACTCTAAAATACTTTGGCATGCAGAGGAGTTCATGGCCAACCAGTGACTAAGGGCCCAGATCCTGTAGCTGCAAAACAAGCCCAATTTATCACCTGTCCACCAGTGTGCTTGAGAGTTAGGATGAGGTATATGTGCTAATATGCTGTTTTTGGTCCCTGATAAACAAGGTGCTGTACACTGTAGCCAAACATCTCCACTTTGCTCACATTTGTCCAAAGAAGAGATTGAGGAGTCTTGGACAGAAGAGTCTTTGTGCCGGCAACCCTTATGAACAAGAAGCCATATTTGTTCAGTCTTTTCCTAACTGGAACTTCATGAACATTAACATTTAACTTCCAACTGAGGCCTATGGAGATGTAACTTTATTTCACTAAGAACTGCATGCTCTGACCTTGGAGTGAACTTGTAGGAAGTCCATTCCAGGGATGACTGTGTAATTGTGTTAAGATTATGGAATTGCCTCTGGAGAAGGTCTCCCCCAGATCAGCAAACTGCCAAAACCTCTGCTCATATAGTTGGTTACACTTGCTGATTATCAGCTAATTATGTGCATTTGATGCAATCAAGTGTATTCAATAAGCAGCACCCCTGCTGCTACTTGCCCTCTTAATAGGGGTGTACATAGTTTTTCACAGTACTGCGCAGAGTTCAACATTTATTTTCCTGATTCCTCTCCAAACTTAACAGAGCTTTCTCTAAAGTAACAGATACTGAGTAACTTGTACTTTAACCCCCTGACTGATAACCTTGTGGCACCATGCAATTGTTGTGTCTGAGCCCAAACTCTTAAGGTTAATCATAAAATAAATAAAATGATGAAAACAAACAATCAAGGCTTTTGCCTCCGAGTTATTACTATATCAGGATGAAGGGAGGCAGTGTTGAAAGACTCCTTCAGGTCCCCAGGTCGACGTGGATTCAACCTATAAAGAAATTATCCGAATTTAAACTCTCTTCCGTAGATACACATTAAAGTATAAAACGTATGCTTCCTACCTCTCCGTCTCCAATGACACCCAACCGTGGTTAGGGTTGTTCACGAAACTTTTCCTGCTGAAGGGTTGCTTCAGTTCATCTGGCTGCAGGAAGAATTTCTTGGATATGTCCATAACACAGTCCACCTATCCAAACACACCAGAAGAAAAAGACGGATTCCAGTGTAAGTTCCTCGATAATAATTTGATTCTATCTAACTGGCCTCACCTCCTCCTGAGTAATCCCCGTGTTCCTCAGAAATGCAAAACCAACATCTCTAAATGCTGATTTCAACTCTGTGCTTAAACTCTGCAACTGCTCGTCAGCGACATCCTTCTCGCTCAGCCTGTAGGCGCCGAAGTCCACAACTGGGATGTTCATTGTAAAAAAAACTAAAGTTTCTTCAGTAAAAACAGCGTCGGGTTAAAAGACAGCCTGAACTGAACGC